TGGGTGGGGCTATTGATGCCACCGCAAGGTAAGACAGTGAAAGACATCCCCCGAAAATAAGACCTAATGCCTCTTTTGGTGGGGAAAAAATAAATAAGACCAGGTCTTATTTTCGGGGAAACATGGTAGTAACCTCTGATCCAAAATTGCAGAATATATATATAGTCTGACCCATCTTTTCTGGCATACACTCTTACACTTGTGAACTTGTGGCCTTCTTGATTTATCAGGAAAAAATGGTGGACCAGTCTATGTGAAATTAAGCAGAAGAGACTGACTGGACCAAACTTAGAGAAAGCATCACGGATTGAAATCCTGTTAAGAATTCAGAGATCATATCTCATCTGCAGTGTGGAATCAAGAACACAAAAATAATACCCTCATCTCCTCAAATTAATCAGATTTCACAAATTATAGTGGTTTAATTATGGACCAGTTTGGGCAAAACCATGTCTAAAGAAATTCTGCATGCATCTGGAATATTTGAAGACACAGGAAAAAAACATTAAATTAAAATTAAAGCCATCTGAGTGACTTGGAAAAATATAATCTCTAGCAACTGTGAGTTCAGTGGTAGTCTGCAAGGAGGAGACACCATATACTTGTATCTTGATAGATTTCCAGCTTTATTCTCCCCACTTCAATTGGACATGGTCTTAACTGTTGTTGTGAGAAGTTACTATGTGTATAGCTGCTGTTCTTTAGCTTCGTCTATCCGCCCATCCATCCATCCATCCACCCATCCTCCACAAAATGTGTATGAAGCTTTTTCTTCTTATATGAATTTGTGAGCCCTTCTGAAACATTTGTGTTAAAACTAAGTGCATACATTCTGATTCTCCATTAATAATAACCACAAAATAATCATAGTAATAAACAGGGAGGAAAATGGCTGCAAAACATCCCTAAGGAATTTCACTGCTGAGAAGCTCTATTAATTTCAGCTCACAGATATCATCGGGAAATGTTGCCTGGGAAGAATCAGATGCAAAACGTTGAAAGTTGTTACAAAATCATTTACTCTGTAATTTTTCATAGTTGATGTACTTAATTTCTGGATCTCATTAAAGTTTGGGAGGGCTCCAAAAGGAATAGATTATGTTTCCTTCTGAAAGTAACTTCATTTTCTAACCACATTTTGATGGGCATTTTTTTTTCAGGAGGAGAAGGAACAAGTAGTCTGAAGCCTAAATTTAATTACCTACTGTACGTGAATGGTTATAAGAAATTATTTCATTCCTGAACACTGTGAGGGTTTTTTTATACACTGTAATTCTCCATGAAGCATTTACAATTCTGTCGGATCAATAAAAGTAGGCTTAGTGACACATCTCAAAATGTAACTGAGAATGTGGGGTGGGCATTAAAATATCCAAGTTATTTTATCCTAGCTTTAATCCTTCATCTACCTGGAAGAACCTTGGGACATGAATGATTATAATGTTTCCTTTTATTGGAAGAAAAGAAAATTGCTTTCCATTCTCCTTTAGTCAATGCTGTATTTTTAGCTGGTGCCAATAAGCAATATGAGTGTGTCTGTCTTTCTATCTGGGCAGGAAGGCAAGAAAAACAAGCCAGATCCATTTAGTGTCATGTCAAGAACTGATGACATCTTTCTCAATGCGTTTTCTTTCCAATGAGGCCGATTTAGGTCTTTGATTCAGATAATTTTGCCTACTGAGAATGGCGTCAGACAGAATGAAACTTAATGGAGGAACCTGGAAGAGGCCACAGTGAGGAGACTTTTATTACAGTCTCAACTTCAATTTGGCTCACTCTTGAATTTATTGGCAGATACGGTCATAAAAGAGTTGCCAACCCATTACCAAGGTCAGAACAAACTAACTGGAAGATTTTCTGGGAGAGATGAAAATGTTTTTCTTTTTATATATATAGACACCACTGGAATGTATTGGTGCCTTCCAATTCATATTTCTAGCCAGCACCCAACCTTATATGGTTCATCTACTCTATTCTTCATGCCTTTCACTACATTTAGAGTGTACCATTGGTGATTTGATTAAAACAACACGATTAATGAGAGGAGAACAATCAGAACTGGATCATGAGCAAGATGTTGTAGGTCCTAGGATATTTTCAAATGTTTTATTGAAAGATACTGGAGAAACTATGAAATGATTTGCTGCAGTAGAGTATTCTGTTCTTGTAAAGTTGTGGGGAATGGGGGTGGGGGTGGAAGCTACCTCAATGCACTGTCAAAAATAAAAATATCACCTGACTCTGATCATTTAAGACGGGATGGGTGCTGTTTACATGTAAGACAAAACATGAGATCTGACCTAAATTGCTGCCATTTTCCTAATAGTCTGATATATCCCAGGGAAACTTACTTGTGTGAGCTCTATAACAGAAAATCTCTCCTAAGGATTGAGTTGCAATTGTACATGTAAACTAAGAAGTAGGAGGCCTTAGGTGAAGCCATGTAATTGTTGGAAGAAATGTCCATCTGGATTCAGTTCCAAGTGAGGAGAAAGACACTGGAAACATTGTGGCTGTTTGGAAAGATGGTTTAATGGTGGACGGGATCACATGGTTTTGAGGTCCTGGGCAAAAAGGGCAGAGATGTTGAGAGTGCCTGGATTTTATGCCCTCTCTGGGCTTTTGAATTTGAGCTTCTAATCTGATTGGTTGTCAGACTCCCATGGGACCATGCAGGGGTAACTTTGTAGGTTGTTTGGGTCCCAGGCTTGGTTGTGCCTTGTTGGGTGATGATGATGTAATGAAGGGGCTTTGGGCAATTCCTATTATGGCTCTGCTTGAAGGAGGTAGATCTTTGTTATGTTGAATAGACTGGCCCAGGCCTTAATGGCCCATTGACAAAGGGCGGGGTGGGGGGATAAGTTTCTGCCTCCCTTTTAGGGGAAATATTCTGTCCTTTTAATATTTCCTAAAATATCTCATTTTCCTAGGAGAGGGGTGGGTACTAACTTCCTACATTTTGCATGCCTGGTGCCATCCAGATGCATTGGACTAATTTTATAATACTCAAACAACAAATCTGGCTGGAGTTTTGGGGGTTCACAATTCAGCCCAACTGGAAGGCACCAAGCTATGAAACACTGTTTTAAATTATCCCCTAGTTCTTGTGTGTAGGCAGCAGTAATATTTCTCTATAATGGAGAGCCTTCTTTCCTTCCATTGCTTATCTCTGTAGCCTCTGGGCTTATACCAGGGGGGAAATTCAATAGGGTCTGACAGGTTCTGGAGAACCGGTAGCGGAAATTTTGAGTAGTTTGGAGAACCGGCAAATACCAGCTCTGGCTGGCCCCCGAGTGTGGTGGGAATGGAGATTTTGCAGTATCCTTCCCCTGCCATGCCCACCAAGCCACGCTCACAGAATCGGTAGGGAAAATTTTTGAATTTCACCCTTGGCTTATACACACTCTTCGTGCTGCTTCTAGATCAGCTCTATACTTCTCATACCCAAGACACTGGCCCATCTTCACAGCTAAGTTATTTTTTTCTGGAACTGAAACAAACCTGGGGGGTTCTTTTGGGAGGGGTGGTGTCAATGCTGTCTGTTTCTCTACTGACTTTTCTGATTCTATCCACTGCCCTCAGCAAGATAATCATGCTCTGAAAATAAGAACAGAAGGGGACTGAATTTGGATTGCTAGGTAAAACAATTACTGAGACAGAAAATGGACCGGTACCTTTGATGGCTGCTGCTGCTAAAAGCTTGAGAACAATTTCAGAAACCATCTTTTGGGGTTTTTTAAAAAGTTATTTAACCATAAGAAAGGCTGAGCGCCAAAGAATTGAGGCCTTTGAACGATGGTGCTGGAGAAGACTCCTGCGAGTCCCTTGGACTGCAAGGCGATCAAACTGGTCAGTCCTAGAGGAGATCAACCCTGGCTGCTCTTTAGAAGGCCAGATCCTGAAGATGAAACTCAACTACTTTGGTCACCTAATGAGAAGGAAGGACTCACTGGAGAAGAGCCTAATGTTGGGAACGATTGAGGGCAAAAGAAGAAAGGGACGACAGAGAATGAGGTGTCTGGATGGAGTCACCAAAGCAGTAGGCATGAGCTTAAATGGACTCCAGAGCAGGGGTGAAATCCAGCAGGTTCTGACAGGTTCTGGAGAACTGGTAGCGGAAATTTTGAGTAGTTCGGAGAACTGGCAAATACCACTTCTGGATGGCCCAAGAGTGGGGTGGGAATGGAGATTTTGCAATATCCTTCCCCTGGAGTGGGGTGGGAATGGAGATTTTGCAGTATCCTTCCCCTGTCATGCCCACCAAGCCACACCCACAGAACTGGTAGTAAAAAAATGTGGATTTCACCACTGCTCCAGAGGATGGTAGCGGACAGGAAGGCCTGGAGGAACATTGTCCATGGGGTTGCGATGGGTCGGACACAACTTCGCAACTAACAACAACAACAATAGTTATAAAATCATCCAACATAGTAAAACATCCAGGATAGGCATCCACCCTGCATTTCTCAGTGTACACATAGAGGCAAACATACACAGGCACATTTCTTGGTTACCCAGAAGGAAATATGGTACCTTTGATGGCTGCTACAGTTATTTATTTATTTTTTAAAAATTAAGGACCAATTATCCATCAAGTACAGAGTTCCTCCGTATGTTTTAGCCTCCAGTCCCCCTCATCATCCTGGTTACTCTTCTCTGCACTTTTTCCTAGGAGTCTCAACGTCTTTATTATTATTATTATTATTATTATTATTATTATTATTATTATTATTATTATTATTATTATTATTATTATTATTATTATAATTGCGCGGTGACCAAAACTGGACGCAGTATTCTAAGTGTTTGGTCTTACTCAGGCTTTACTTACCAAGACCTGCGCGCGCGCGGGAAATCCGGCGGGACACTTTCCCCTTCTCCGCCTGCTGGCGTGGGGCTGGGGCGGGGGTTGGGGGGAGAGCTTTGGCGACGGCGGCTCCCCGCGCGCGTGGGGCGTGTGCAGCTGGGGGAGTCTCCACCTCTTCTGGCGCGGGCCCGGGGAACTGCCGGAGCCGCCGCCTTGGAGCTCTCCTCAGACGGGGCCGGAGGCGAAGGAGCGCGCTCTGCAAGCCGGACGAGGCGGCGGCGTTGGCGGTCTGCAATCGCTTTTCTCTCTCTCTGGGAGCAGCGTCCGAAAGAGCGACCCTCGGCGGCCTCTTTTGGTAGCGGCCTCGGCTCCATGGACGCCAGGTGGCTTTTCTGCCGAAGCAAAGCGCGCTGAGCGTCCCCGCGGCTGGGCTGCTCTCGCCCATCGGCCGATTTTTTTTTTTTTTTTGGTGGTGGTGTGGGGGGGGATCGGCTCGTTTAAAGAGAGGAGGCTCCGCTTTGGCCATGCTGCGATCGTGGGCGCTCGTCGGGGCGGCTTTCTTCTTAGGTGAGAGTTCCGTCCGGCTCGGCTGCTGGGTGAATTTGGGGAAGCGGGTGGGGACGGGAGTTGAAGCGGTGGTGGGGCTCGGCATTGAAACTCGTCCAAGTTTCAGTCGGAACTATTGAGGTCTTGCGGGAAAGCGACGTCCGCTCCCCAAAAATGGGGTCCCCCCCCACCCCCAGCCTAGCGAGCTCCGGGAATGGAGCCTTGGATTTATTTGCCCCGGACAAACGTTAAAACGAGGGGTCCTTGATGCTCTCTCTGAACTTGCTTATTTGCTAGCACTGATGAGGTTACCTAATTTGGGTAGTGAAACGTCTGCAAGAAAACAAGCAAGCTCAGGGAGCACTAAGGAACCCCACCCCCCTCTTGTCCATCCAAATATTCTCCTTTATTGAAATGTGAAAGTCAAAATGTCAAACCGAGCGCATCGCACACGCAGTTCGGGATAGATACGGGGCTGCCGTCGAAGAGACGGTGCAAATCGCGCTGCGGAAAACTCTTTCCTTTAACGCGGGATCGTTCAAAGTCAACCCTACGATGGACAACGCGCTGCCAGAAAAAGCAGCGCCGTCTATTTCTCGACCCGCTCAAAAAGTGAAGCCTCCGCTAGCTTGATTTGTACCCTGCGACGGGTTTGGAAATTTTTTGAGGTTCGAGGGTGTTATGAGAATCTAACCGCGGAATTACTCTTGGGTTGCAGGGGAAGGTGGTCAGTTAGCTGGAAATTAAAAAATAAAAATAAAAATCAGGAACAGCAGTACCGTAAAGGGCATGTTTAGTAGCTAATCCGTGAACGCTTCTGCTAAAATGTGTTGACCTTTTAAAGCTGCCGCAAAAGCTTTTACTAATTTTGTTTTGGTAAACTGGGAGGGCTCTCCTTAACAAAGAGAAGATCCTCTCCCATCCGTGTTTTAATGTTGCGATCAGTAATAAAGATACCATGCAGGTAAGAAAATAATTGGTTTTTCTTGATCAAAGGACTTTGTTCCATGTGGGACAAAATGGCTCAGGAGATTCTCATTCATTCCAGCTCATAGTTGTCCCAAAGGAGTTTTTATTTTAAAGGCAACTGAACTGTCTGGTTTGTTTGTTTGTTTTTAAAGTGGCTTGGCTTCTCACCCAAGAAGCTGAAGAAAAACTGAAGAAGCTTCTTGGATGAGAAGTGAAATGTCTTGAAAGAAAAATCCAACATTTCGGTTGCCTTTAAAATAAAAGCACCTTTGAGACCTAATGCAGTCAGAAGTGGGAGAAACTGAATACACCTGTTTGCAAATAAAAAAAACCCTGAGTTAGCATATTGGCTTACATAAGGATAAACCAATTTGCATGTTTGGTATTCTTTTAATTAGCCTAAGAGGAGCAGTTCCCCTGGTTCAGTGTTTCTTAATCTGGGTATGTTTAGGATGTATGAACTTCAACTCCCAGGATTTCCCAGCCACTAATATATATAAAGGAAGAGTGGGAAAGTGCTGACTTTCTTGGCTTTTTGAAAAAAGTAAATTCTGCACAGAATGAAATAGCCAACGAGTGACTGTTGACCGCTTTACATTGAGAATGTATAGAGAATGGAGAACCATTAATGGAGAACCATTAATGCAGTGTGAAAGTTAATCACAGGCTGCATTCTCAAGAGGCAATCTCTGTTTGGAATAAACAGACTTTCCTTCACCAACTTTTTAAGAAGCCAAATTGTTTCTTGTTTTTAGCACACTGTTGTTTTTTTTTTAAAGGATGCTTCTTCATAATATTGCGCTCTGGAGAATATGGGGGAATTCTGTCCAAAAGTAGAATAACGTGTGAGACTTAATAAATCTGTTTCCTGTGTGGGCTGAACCACCTGGGCTCCTATTTGTAATGCAGGATGGACGAAAAACCAGGAAAAGCATCCAAATACTCCTGTCAGTTGCCCAGAATAGATGAGGCTTCCTGTGTCTCTTGTGCCCAAAATACCAGATGGTGAGGGTGTGTGTGTGTGTGCTAAATCTAAGACAATGTCATATTCAGAACCCTTCTGTTCTTTCTTCTCCTTTCCCATATTCTGGAATTGACAGCAGGCTCTGTGGGTAGCCTGGTTGAACCTTGGCTCATGTGTTAAGACAAGTCTGTCCTAAGGCCAATTCCAGAAGAGTGGCCACAATAACCAATAGTAGCTAATATAGCAAAGAGTCTGGAAGTGGCATCAATACAAATCCTACTCCTCTATTTTTTTATTTTTTTTTTGGTCTTGTTTTGTAGAAAACAACTTCCGTCACCAGATGGACATGTTGGCTGATTTTTTTAAAGTCGGAAAAATATTATTTTCTTATGCTCTTTGGTCTTTTTCCTTTGAAATCCCAAGTCACTGATCTCTTGGCTTGCAGATGTTAGACTGTAACAAAAGGGTTTCAGACACACGCAAATCATGTGTTAGGTTTCTGCTTCTGTTTGCTGGGACTGGGATGGGTTCAGAAAGCAGCTCCCTTCTCAAGCAAAACTAATACAATATCAGATTCAGTAATGAAGAAGAGGTGACTGCCAAGTATATTAAAAACATCTAAAGTTTGCACGGAAGAATTTTCTGAATAAGAAGACCGTTCGGTGGGGGTGAATGGGATAAGGGACATTACTATCATCCTTTCCCATTATTGTATGATATTGAGCGGGTTTAACTGGATAAATGAGGATTTGTTAAGATTGGGGATTTGTCCTTCTCTTTGTGAAAGTTTTTCCCCTCGGTCACTTGCAAACTCTTCCAGGGCTTGCTGCATTTGCATTTTATAGCTTTCAACGGCATGCAAATATTCTTGGTACGATAGCAGAATATATAAAAGACATGCCAATCTATATAAAGAAGAATATTTGTGTGCACACAGTGGGCCTTCATGAAGCAGAGAAGAAGGATTGCTAGTTGCTCAAATGGTGATGAGAGTTGACATTCGTGTATATAAACATGACATTCCCTGGCAAGTTTTGTAAAATCTGAAGCCACCCAAAATCTGAAGCCATGGCTGACGTTCATTTACTTTATGGAAAAACATCTGGAAAGTCAGGTATAGTGAGTTCGCTTGTTGAGATGGGTAGCCATACAGATTAAATTAATACATAAAATAAATCAAATGATAGATTTCTGCACCTGTGCAGAATGTGAAGCTACTGATATTCACATCCTACAATAGTGTTTCTCAACCTTAGCAACTTTTAAGATATGTGGACTTCAACTCCCAGGATTCCCTAGCCAGTCATATATGTACTGTCTGGGGAATTCTGGGAGTTGAACTCCTTATATATCTTAAAATTGCCAAAGTTGAAAAACCTTAGAATCTAGAGTTCAGCACATTTGACCGATAGCTAAAAGCAAAACATTGATGGTGTAGTGGACTAGGAGTGCAGAGATCTAAGCTCTGCCCTCAGCCATGGAAGCTGAGTGGGTATCTTTGAGGCAGTCATACTTTTTCTATCCAGCCTACTTCACAGGCTTAGTGTTGTGGGGAAAAGTTGGAGTAGGGAACATAATGTAGATTTCATTGATTTCTGGTACAAAAGACTGGATATCAATTTAATTAATATCACATGATTACCAAATGTCATATTAGATTAAGTAGAAGGTTAAGATGGGCTGAGATTAAAAGGTCTTTGTTTTTAGGGTTATAATCCACAGTAGCAGATAAAGCAATAAATAATACAGCTCTGTCTTCTAGAATGCCTAGCCTTCTGAGTGATCTGCTAGTTTTTCAAGTATCAAAATGATTTTTTCAACAGCAGGGACTTGAAGCTATCAAAGCAGATCAAAATCAGGTTTATATCCTCACGCTCTTCTTTTTGCAATGTTTGGAAATGAAGAAATGAATTTGAAATGAAGCAGTGGCTTCATTTTCTTCCTTCTAAAATTAAATCTGGAACATCTCAATCCCTGCATATAGTAACAGGTCTTCTGTTGTAAACCATGTCTATCTGTCATAGACTTCACCCTAACCTGTAAGCTTTCACCTTTTTAATTTTTGAAACACAGCTTTTTTGTGTGCACTCTCAACTATACTAAGACAGGATCTCCGAGGGACTTGTTGGTAGACTCTTAAATGGCTAGGAACTTAAGCTGCTCAACTAAGTTGGGGCTATGCTTGGCTGGTCCCCAAATAGAGCAGACATTAAAATGCTGGTACTGAATGTGTTCATTGCATAAGTCCTGGTTGAATATATATGCTAAACAATACTTCTGCTGGCTTTGTTGTACTGAGAGTGATAAATTCAAGGGCTTCCTGCTATACTTTGCTGGATAGATAGATATGTTCACTCATCACCCCTCTTAAGACTTAGAATAACTTTATTGTCACTTTGAATGTACACTAATCGGCATACAATTCACGGGTGTCAAACTGGCGGCCCACAGGCCGGATGTGTCACACACAGGCCATGCCCCCCCAGCTCCGTGAAGGGAAAAAAACATCGTGAAACACCTGTGGCATACATTAAAATGAAATTTCGTTGCATACAGCTCTCAAAGAGTCTCCACCTCCAATGTACACTACATAAACATGACAAAATAAATAAATAAATACAAGATTATGCATATACCCACATATATTATATGACACGGAGAAACAACACAGTTTAGATCGGATATATACATGTACATGGCAAGAGAAACAAATCTTGCGAGTTTACTAGACGGATGGCCTTTATTTTTTTTTATTTTTTTTTATTTTTTTATATGCCGCCCTTTATATGCTGCATTTTTTTATATTCCGCCCTTCTCCAGAGACTCAGGGCGGCTTACAATGCGTTAAGCAATAGCCTTCATATTTTTGTATATTTTATACAAAGTCATCTTATTGCCTCCACAAACCGGGTCCTCATTTTACCCACCTTAGAAAGGATGGAAGCCTTGAGCCTGGTGAGAATTGAACTAGCAGTAATTGCAGGCAGCTGGGATGTTAAATGCTGCCTTAGTAGGAGGCATTAGCCTCCTACGCCACTCAGGCTCCTCATTTGGGAACCCTCATTTATGGATGAGGGTTCCCATTTTC